CTCCAAATTGCTTGTCTTATAGGTAAATTTTAAGTACAGTTGAGCATTGTCTCTTCATATATTGTTTTTTAGTAACTTTAGTTATTACTATGTAAGCATAAAATAAAATGTATGTCAAAAGATAATTTATAATAGGTTATTTCATCTTTTTATTTGCTATTCTTATCACTGAATGTTTTTACAGTATTGAACAATTCATTTATTCACTTAATGTATTTTTAGATTCTATAATTTTTATTTCTAAGAAATTATTAATATAACCTTAATTTATATTTTGTTAAGTGAATGTATCTCTTTTGGTGTTGTTATCAACACTTGAAAGTGTATGCAAAGGAAAATAAAAGGAAATACAGTGTGTTTCTTTTGCCCTTGAGTATCAAAAAATGCCCTTGACACACACGCACATCCAGTCCATCATAATAAAGTGTGATTTTTTAAACAGCATAGTTACTGAGAGGGTGCTTAATTAGTTTATAACAGAATAATGGATAATTTTACTTTGAATGAACAAGGAATATAATTTGTAAGAAGTTATACAATTTACTTACTAAAATTCTACTTTACTACATGCAGTTTTCTCCTTTTGCATGAGAACCTGGTTATTTTTGTTGAGCATAGCATGCATGTTCAATGAATATGTACATATGCGTTTTGACTGATTCTGTGAACAATTTCTTGTCACCTGTTTTATTTCCTAATCTGTGTTGTACAGGTGGCTCCATTAAAATGTTTCATATGCATCAAAAGTAGGGCACCTAGAAGATGTTGGCAGGGTAATTACATATACATCATAAGCGATCTAACTTTGGCAGAGCTGAAGCAGTTTTGAATTAATCTGAATGACCCCAACTTTATTGCTGTTGAGTTTCTAAAAATTATAAAATGTCAACTCATTGGAAATAAAATAACAGAATTTAAACAATCTGACATAACTAATACATAGTTTCTCTGACTTGTTCCATATTCTGTAGACTTTACTACCTACTACAATATTTTATTGAAAAATTCTTATCTTAATAAATGTGTCTTCCACCTTATTAAAATGTATTTCTGCTAGGTAAAGAATAGAAAATTCAGTGCTCTCTATATGTGTGTTTTATGTACACAAAAACCTCGATGCATAAAAAAAGATGTAGGTAGTGAATCACTGTTTTACCTCTATAATATCTTAATTTTGGTATAACAAGTTATTGGAATGATACTGAGTCAATCTTTTTTGGGAAGTGCTACTATTTTATTTTATCATAAGTTTTTCAATGCCATTAAGTAATTAAAAAAATTTAGGCATATTGCATGCTCACAAGACTAGCTCAGACAAATGGAAGGCACAGAGTGAAGGACATAGAAGAATGACCCAGAGTGTGCATATTCAAATCCTGCTGAGTGTAGAGGGGATTGAAGTAAAAGAAACTATGCAAATGGGATGGGTAGACATCTGTGTAACTATGCAAGGAGTCTTAGGTGGTATGTTATGATTAAACATGTTGATTAAGCAAAATATGTTTGGACTTATGTGTTAGACCCCTATAGCAAAATTAATAGAGAGGAAGAGGGACATGATAGGACAGGGGGACTGGAAGAGAGGCTATTGCAGATAAGTTGGGGGCAATGAGGAGAAGAAAGAAGACAGAAGGCGAAAACACTAACAGTACTGGGGAAGTAAAATGGACAGACATTGGCATTTGGTAGAATGTGAGGGATAAAATGGAGAAAAGAAAAGAAAGTTGCCTATCTTGTTCATAACCTTCTCTCTGCCATCTTGAAGAATATCTCATACAGGTTCCCCATAACTATTTGTCAAGCAAATAATAGGGACATAAGGATTTTTTAAAAACCCCTGTTATTTAATGTATATTGATAAAGTACTACAAAGAATACCTGTCTTCACATTCACTGGTACTGACCCTATAAAATGTGCTTTTATAATACAGAACACTCATATCTCAGCATATTGTCTGAAAAGAAGGGGAGCTTTTATTTATAGTGTATATTATCTGATGTTCTTCTGATTAATTTTGGAGTTCTAAAAATTCCCCTGACATTGGAGGGTCTCAATTCTGGCTGAGCCCCACATCCTTACTAACCATAATTCCTAAGTGATGACACCAGACTAGATTGTTGCCCTTGATTTTGGATTATTTTATTTTTTTCAAATATTCAGATGGAAAGCTAATAAACATAATGTGTAACTTGAAGTTGTTCCCCTAGATGAGGTAGAGTCAGCAGAAATATCCAAATTTTTAAAACTCAGACACCCATATTTTTCTAAAGATCGCATTCAACACTTCCCCCGCCACCCCATCCCCACCCCAGTGGGGCACCCTCAAATCACCCCACACTGCTGTCCGTGTGTGAAATCTGGAAACTATTGGACTTGACGGCTCTCTCTTTCTCTGAATTTTCTACCTGCCAGCTATGTCTTTGATAATTATTTTGTCATAGCTTCCTAACTATATACTGTTAGAGGATGGTTTACAGTACATTATTCAACATAGACCTCCATTGTTTTATTTTATTAGGAAAAATTCAAGACTCTTCCTAACAATTATTAATGTACCTTAAATTGGACCATGACCAATCATACTATACACTCAAGGATTTTAGTGTTTCTTCAGGCTTCTTTATCACCATCACAAACTGAGAGGCAAGGGATGTGGAGACGTTTCTGATAAATCATACCTCTATGTAATATACATGAAAAAAGGAAGAAAAAAGGAAAATAAAAACAGCTCAGATATCTATGCCTTTTCTTTTTTTTTTAATTTGTCCCTGAGAAGTTTAGTATAACTTTAAAGAACTGTTGCACACTTTCTTGAAACATGAAACAGGAATTTAAGAATCCTCACATTTGCTAATAAATCAGGAGTGCTTCAGTAGGATCAGGATGTAATATGGCTATTGGGAAACAATGGTGCTCTCTAGAAAGTTGGTGGCAAAAGTCACTGTAGGCTCAACTTATGCAATCATGACCATTTGAGCTCAGACAGGTTCCTTTGGAATCTCTGTCTTTAGTCTCCTTGTTGACAATGTGAAATATAACCTATGGTTTATTCTTTCCCTTTGCTCTGGTTCCCTCGGGCTCAGACCCTGTTCTAACCATCGAACACTGAGTCTATGTGACACCACTATAGGAAGTGTTTAGGGAAGACAACCTAATGGAACATAATTCTAGCCTATGACAAGTTGCTGGTTTGGTTAACATGACTTCTTAAACCAAAATTATTTTATAATACCTATAACAACACTTCTTTTTTGCCTTTTGGAATAATTTTTATCTATCTATATTTTTTTGTTTTGTTTATTTCTTAAATTTGTCTTCCTATCTCCTCCAAAGGCAGTTATACTAAGTTATCATTAATTAATTACTAAATTAATTAATTAAACAAGTATTTTATATCACTCTAAAATGAATTTTCTATCTTTTACATGAAACCAAACAAGTTTTAAGTGAATATTTAGCTGTCTTGAGACTAAATATATTACATGTCCCATTGAGGTAATGTCCATTGGATGTAAATAAGGCTAATCTTAACATTTTAAGAGCAAATGGTGAATATCATTCTGAGAGGAAGGGGCAGGGCACATGACAAGATTTAATAGCTACAGGTTTCATGAAATTAACAAATGTTGGAACTGACTGTGAAATAACTATAAGGCCCCTAAAATTAATTGGGAAGAAAACAAAAATAATATTTGGCAGAATCTCCATAAAATGTTGATTTTTTTTTATTCCCCTTGAACCAATATATGTTATATTGTACTATGTAGTTTGCTAAATGAACTTTGCCATTCAAAAATCTATTAAAGCCTTCCTAATTTAATTTTTATATATGTAGTAGAAGTCCAAAGCAAATCAATTACCTTGGTTGCTTTATTCATGGGATGTGTAATCCAAAATCCATTAATAGACATCTAAACTGAAAAGTCAGTATCAAAATATAAACTTTGTATTTTTGTATTTAGTTTTGCTTTTATATTTTTATATCTTCCCATTTTCTCTTTCCTTATTTTGTTTTAAACACACTATTTAATTCATTAATATGCTAGTAACATAGCTTATACTATATATTTTTCTTTATGTAAGACCTTACAACTTTTTGAAGACCATTTAAACAATGTACATATTTTAATTTATGTGGGATATTATAACTTTTTATGATTCTGCTACATTTTATATAGACAGGGATTTTTCTAGGTTTTTCTGACCCAGTACGAAAGTCAGTAATGTAAGTGCTCCACCTGGCGGTAAAAAATAAGCATTTTATTATTTTTTTAACGTTAAAAAATAGGAGCTAGAAATTTATATACTAATTTTAAAAGTGTTTGAAAATGACTAGCAGCGTATCCAGTACAAATTTACGAAACATGAGTTGAATATTAGTCTATAATATACTGAACTTAATTTCATCATGAATTATAATTTTGGTTACCTGTACATATAATCATTTCACAGATCACTTCTAGTTTAATGATTTATTCTAATGGATTTAGTGTGTTTCAGTCTATTTTATTCTAATTCATTCACTCTATTTAGTCTAGGTTAGTCTATTTATTTTTATATTTGTATTATTTTGTATATGATTTATTTATTGTAGGGAACATAACCTTAATTTTAATAAATATTTAGATATCTTTCTTCTATCATTTATGAATCATCTACTTATGAATTTTTTAACCTATATTTCATATACTGCATTCTGTTGTGTCAGTACCAAAGAGTTTCATAGATATTTTTACCTTCACATCTATTTTAGGTACATTTTGATGTTGTTAATGTGTAAGATATTTCCTCACAATAATTTCAACACACTCTACTCTTTATAATGCCAAATTAAAATTCTAAAAAATCATAATCCTTACCTTGACAATATACTGTCTTTCAATTTTTTACAAATATGCTTTAAATTTGATTTATTTTCTATAGGTTATGTTTTTCCAGTCTTGTAATCTTACTGTATACTTTACTAACTTCACTGTCAACACAATTTATGTCCTATCAGGCATCTTCCATCTGAAAGTTCCTGAATCTTCTCCTATTGGCTCAGCTATTGGAAGGATAAGAGCTGTGGATCCAGATTTTGGACAAAATGCAGAAATTGAATATAATATTGTTCCAGGAGACGGGGGAAATTTGTTTGACATTGTCACAGATGAGGATACACAAGAAGGAGTCATCAAATTGAAAAAGGTACATAGAAAAGTTCTTACACAATTGACTACCCATACAGTTTAATAATAATTAAAGAACATAAAGACTAAAACTTGAAAATAATTTAAATAATTTTAAATTTCTGTCAATTAACAATATTTCAAATAAAGAATATCAAATTAACTATAAAGTTAATGAAGTTATTCACTCTCACTGGCACTTTTATTCTGTGATTCAACACGTACGATTTTTTGTTGAAACAATTAGGCCTATTAATTTGATTAAATCAGTAAAATTCTTATCAGAGTTAGATTTTTAATTTTTTATTGTTATAAATGTAGGTGAAAAAATAATTTTAAAATAAGATGTAGAAGTAAGCTCTAACCCCCTTATGCTTGATCTTGCCCCTTTTTATGACTTTTTGGAGAATATGATCGTCTAACTCACACACTGTTGGTGAACGTGGACATCCTAGTGGAGGGATCCTGATTTTGGCAAGCTCTACTACTGGAGGAGTGAAAGAACTGAGGGTGATAAACAAATTCTAAATCACTGTTGGCAGTGCTAAATTCAAATTTGAAAAAGATCAACAGGATGAAAGGATACAAGTGAAGTAGAGGACGGTGACTATTACACAATGAGGTGGTCAGAAAAAAGGCTTCTCTATTAGGGTGAAGTTGCTGCAGAGACATGAAGCAAGCAAGAGATTAACCATTTGGTGTCCAAATTATGTGTGTTCCAGAAAGATTGAGCAGAAATTTCAAAACTCTGAGATGAGAGGATACTCAGCAAGGACGCCAGAGGTGTAGTGAATGAAGGTATCCGAAGCCGGTGATGAGGTCAAAGATAGAGAAGAAGGGCCCATCATGTAGATCCTTGCAGTCTAGGCCAAAAACTTGAACTAGATCATGATTTGGGAAGCCCATCTTGGGTTTGGATATAGATTACATTGATCCTGTAAAGCCAGGATATTACGGCTGTTCTGGGGGGAATAATGACTAAGAAGTAAGAATAGAAATTGACTAGTTAAGAAACTATAGAAAAAGTTCAGTAATGGCAGCTGTGAGAAATTGTGAGATTTCCCCTATATTTAAAGGGACAGACAAAACAGGTTTTTATAAATATTCTGACCATCTGGTAAATCACACCAAACATTTAAATAAATTTGTTTTTAGTGTCGTAATGTGTTTTAAAGTCTATATAAGGAACCACCAGAAGCAAGTCCTATCTTTTAACCTATTGTTCAGCTGGGGGAAAAAATTGCAATCTACAGACTTTATATATTAAATCTCTAAAAAATAACTCAAGAGTATATCGTTGTGAAAAAATTTTTAAATTGCCTATTGTTTATCTACCGACCGACCTACCCATCTACATAACTGGTGAATATTTTGTATTGAGTGTACGTATGGTATACACATATATACAGATAGATGTATGACTTGATTAAACATGGTGATATAATTTCATTAAAATAAAATAATGATAAAATATTCAGTTGATTAAAGTTTATAAAAGACTCAAAGTTAATTTACACAAATACACTTTGTTCATTAATGTACAATTGAGATAAAATATTATAGTCTTAATTCATATTTCTTTGATGACAAGTGACATTGAGCATCTTTTCACATGTCTATCAGCCATGTGTATGCCCTCTTTGGGTAAGTGTCTATTCAGGTCCTTTGCCCATTTTTTAACTGTGTTTTTTGGTATTGATTTTTGTAAGTTCTGTATAAATTTTGGGTATTAACTCCTTATCAGATGCATTGGTGAATGCTTTCTCCCATTCTGTTTTTTAAACTATGTTGCCTTTTTATTATGTTGATGGTTTTCTTTGCTGTGCAAAAAATTTTCAGTTTTATGTAGTCCCATTTGTTTAGTTTTTCCCTTTGTTTCCCTTTTCTGGGAGATATATCAGATAAAATATTGCTACAAACAATGTCCAAGAATTTACTCCCAATGCTTTCTTCTAGGATTTTTATGGATTTGAGTCTAATATTTGAGACATTAATCCATTTTGAATGTATTATTGTATGTGGTGTAAGAAATGGTCTAGTTTCATTTTTTTTGTATGTATCTATCCAATCTTCCCAAAATTATTTATTGAATGAACTATCTTTAGCCCATTATTGTGCTTACTTCCTCTTTTGAATATTGACTATAAAGGTGTGGGTTTATTTCTGTTCAATTAATCTATGTTTCTGTTTGTATGCCAGTATCATGCCATTTTGATTACTTTGTCCTTACAGTATAGTTTGATATTCACCTCACACTGGTCCGAATGGCTATCATCAATAAATCAACAACAAGTGTTGATGAGGATGTGGAGAAAGGGGAACCCTTTTGAAGTGTTAATGGGAATGCAGGTTGGTGCAACCCTTATGGAAAGCAGTATGGAGATACCTCAAAAAATTAAAAATGGATCTGCCTTTTGACTCAGCAATCCCACTTCTGGCAATACATCCAAAGAAACCCAAAACACTAATGTGAAATAACATATGCACCCTTATATTCATTGCACTGTTATTTACAATAACCAAGATATGGAAGCAGCCCAGGTGTCCATCAGTAGATAAGTGGATAAAACAACAATGGGGCATTTACACAATGGAATGCTATTTGGCTGTAAAAAAAAAAAAAAAAGGAAAGGAAAGAAGGGAAGAAGGAAGGAAGGAAGAAAAAATGTACCTTTTGTGGCAGTATGGTTAGACCTGGAGAACATTATGCTAAGTGAATAAGTCAATCAGAGAAAGATAAATGCCATATCATTTCACTCATAAGTGGAAGCTAATGAACAAACTGAACTAAAAAGGAAAAATGGGGACAGAATCATAGATATAGAGCAGGATGAAAGTTAAGGGTTAGGGGTGAGGGCAGGGGATAAGTAATCAAGGAAAAATAAAAGAAGTACTCATGCGAATAGACAACACTATGGTTACTGTGCGTGGAGGGGCTGTAAGGGGGCTCAGTGGTAGTAGGAAAAATAACAAATAAAAAATGTATAAAGACTAGGTATAACACTATTTTAGTTTCAGGTATACAACATAATGATTTCATATTTGTACATATTGTGAAGTGGTCATTACAGTTAAAGTCTTTCACCATATGTTACCATTATTTTCCTTGTGATGAGAACTTTCAAGGTTTACTCTCTTAGCAACTTTTAAATATGAACTTTTTTTAAATGCTTACACATATAAGTTATACCATGCTATATTTGTCTTTCTCTGTCTGACTTAATTTCACCTAGCACAATACCGTGAAGTTCCATTCATATTGTCACCAATAATAAGATTCCATTTCTTTATGGATGAATGGCATTATATGGTTAGACATACTTACCTCTATTTATCTGTCTGTCTATCTATCTATGTCTATCTCTCTATCTATCTATCTATCTATCTATCTATCTATCTATCTATCTATGCCACATTTTCTTTATCCTGTTATCTGCCACTGTATACTTAGGTTGTTTCCATATCTTGGCTATTTCAAATAATAATGAAATGAAGATGTGGGTGCATATATCAAGTTAATGTTTTAATTTTATTTGGAAAAATACCCAGAAGTGGAATTGCTGGATCACATGATAGCCTTATTTTAATTTTATGTTTTAGAAAACTCCATTACATTTTCCATAGTGACCACACCAATTTAGATTCCCACCAAACATATACAATAGTTTCCATTTCTCCACAACCTCACAGCACTTGTTATTTCTTGTCTTTTTTATATCCTTTCTAACAGATATGAGGTGATATCTCATTGTGGTTTTGATTTGTCTTTCCTTGACGATTAATGATGTTGAACACCCTTTCATGTACCTATTGGTTTGCAGTTATTTAAATAGAATTTTTTTCCAGATGAAGACTGCATGATTTGAAAATTTACACATATATTCAGTAAGGTCTGAGAAAGCTTGATTTTGAACTGATCATTAGGTGCCCTAGAAGAAAAAGATTTATTTTTCTGAAGTTTTTAGAAGATTTATTTATTTGTTTTTAGAAATTGGGGAAGGGAGGGAGAAAGAGGGAGAGAGAAAAAATTATGTAAGTGGGGTACTGACCTCACAACCTAGGCATGTGCCTGGACTGGGAATTGAACCGGCAATCTTTCAATTTGTATGATGAGACTCAACCTACTAAGCCACACCAGTCAGGGCTTTTTGTAACTTTTCCTTTCAATATCTAAAGATGACATTGCAATGAATTTGATGTGAAATCATATTCATATATGAATTATATTCTTACATTAAATAGATTTAGAAAATCAAAAAATATCTATTCTACATTTGAAAACATAGTTGTTTTTTAAACATCAGTTATTTTAATTGTTTAGTTAACATTAGAGCATGATATCATTTGCCTTCAAAGAGTTTTCCTTTTTCTAACTCACTTAAAACAAATTAAAATGCTTCAAGTTTTCTGAAGCACATATTGTCATTATCCCTATTTTTTTTACTTGCTTCCTTACTATTTTTTTCCACTTTCTCCTCTTTCTAGGTGTAAGTAGGGTATAAGTGGATAAAAATGATGGTCAAATTTACATGAGTGGAGAATAATAAAAGAAGGCAATTTTTTAAATTTATTTTTTAGGTAGAACTTGGATTCAGTTTATGAGCACTGTGACAGAATGTAATTTCATTGTGTCACTTTTAATTCAGAATAACATTAGTAATCCTTATAAAAGTCTCCAAGGCACAACATACTGGTTAAAAATGATTCTCTTACTTTATACTTATGTCATATTGCACTGAGTAATAAGCAAAGAAAATGTGCTGTATATGTTAAGTATTATAACAGTAAAAAAATGAAAAAATCAGAATAATAAAACTAAAATTTTTTCATCACATCTAAAAATTATAAGATGCTTTTTAAAATAAATGAAAAATGCATTTTAAATTCAGCAATTTTATTAAGAAAAAACTAGATTTACTAGATATTTAGCCAATATTTTTTCCTACAGGATAAATAAAAATAAACATACACTTACTGAATATAAAAATAAGTATGAAGTTATATGGGTTAAAATGTTCA